ATACACACCAACTGTTGGACCAAGCTCGGGCCATAATGAAAGATCAAAATGCAACTGAGGAAATGGTTGCAGCTACCATTTCACCAGGCGGAGCTGATAAACATCCAAATATTAAATGTCGGGAGGGTATGCGATACTATAGATGCTCTGAATGGAATCACTTTTCCGGGGACTGCCTGGTTCGAAGAAAAGATGGCAGTCAGCCACGTGGGTCACGCACAACAATATGTTGCTTCCGGTGTCAAGAAGTAGGCCACATTGCTTCATTGTGTCAAGGAAAAAAAAGTGGACAAGACGTCGGCGCCGGTCTCTTCCATAGGTGAGTTATGAAGCGTTACCCGTTGTGGGTATTTACGTGAACTAAGAGAGTGGCACTGGTGGACACTGGCTGCTCACAGACACTCGTGACGGAGGTGAACGTACTCACCATAAACGGAAATACGCTCAAATGTTGCGGAGTTGGAAGTATTAAGCTTGACGTGAACAATACTGTTGAGTGAGTTATTTTTCTGACTGGTTGCGTGCATTGTGATTTGTGAAATAGTACTTGCGAATCGAGTTTTCAGCATTTTCTTTCTGTCCCCGATGTTCGAGTCTGAACTTAGTGATTTATTCTCGGTGACGTGGAAATAATCTGCAACAAAAATTTCCTTTCCAAACCCAGATCGCTTATAGCACCACTGCAAGTCCTGTCCTGGAACTGATGCTTTGAAGAAATTCCTTGATGTTAAGCTCAGTGATCTTAACATGGATTTTTTTTTACTTCTCCCAATTCAGTTTATACATGGTATTCAGTTTATGTATGGTAAATACTTGAACAACCCAAACATTTTCATTTCTTAATCTGTTGGGAGGATGATAGATTCTGAACTCTGCTTTAGTCATTACTAAATGTTGCTACTTACACTTTAATAGCAAGGTTATATAACATCTGGGTTTATCAATTTTTTTGATAATTTTTATTTTGATTAATATGCAAACTATTAATATAACAATAACATTGGTAATATTTAAATAAAAATTGGTATTTTCTTGCTTAAATGTTAAATGTTTGTTTTGCATTTAATGTGTATTGTTGAATCCAGATTAGAAACCTCTGAATCTTAATTACAATATTTAATTCAACATAGAAGTTCTAGAATTTTTGATGTCATAATGGAAAAAAAAATCTGTTAAAATGTCTCAGATTTTTTTAATGAAAGTAACCTTATTTCTGACTTATTTTGATAAGCATTGTTTGATTATTTAATACCAATTGCTATGAATATATGAAGTTTTACATTTTAATAAAACTTGGTTATTTTATGTCAATGAAAATCCTTCCACCAGTATATTGCTAAAGAAGAGTCATTTTATCTCTGAGCAGGACTGATTTCAGACAAAAAGGTTTGTTTATTTGTATTTATATTTTGAATGTTTTTTGTTAATACTTAAATGTATACAACTGTTACGTGCATATGCATCAAACGACTTTTGAATTTTTTTTACTTTGACATCCTTGCATTTTTTTATGCAGATATGTTCAACTGAAAATTTAAAAAATAAAATATTTATAAACATTCAGTTACAAGTTTGATGGTACATTTATAAATTATTTTTCTTTCCTTCTGACATTGTACCAAAGGAAAACAAACTGAGCAAAATCAAGTTTCAGAATAATTCACCATTACTGGATGTCTGAAGTTGTATGGGTTTCTTTTACTCCTTCCTACTATTAAATCATTAATTTAAACTTCCCAAACTTGAAGTATTATTGATACTCCATCTTGTTTCTCACTTGCTACTACTCCTTATAGTTCTGTATGCATGGTTAAATTTTCATCAGAACTGTTTGATTTTCTTTGCATCCATTTTAGTGAGATAGGGAGTTTCAGTTGAGTAGTTTTGGCAGTGTTCTGTGATAGTTCATTTTAGAATGCCATTCATAAAATTATGGATATGTTTTGTTGCTTAATATTTTTCTAGTTTTTGACACTTGGCCGATATCTCTCCCGAGTAAGACCCCCCTCCCCCAGAGGAGCACATTACTAAAGACTGTGTGTACACTATCCCATGCAGCTGCGGAAAGAAATATAAAATGGAGACAGGCCGCCCCCTTAAGGTAAGGCTTCAAGAACACCAGAAAGCTGTAACACAAAGGGAAGTTGAAAAATCAGGCATGGCTGACCATATATGGAGAGAAAAGTGAGATCACCGCCCTCTGTGGGATCAGGTTGAGATCATAGACAAAGAACATCACTGGAAAATGCGTAAACTTAAGGAATCAGCACATATGCTAGGCCACAAAAATCTCCTGAGCCGATCAAGCATAGAAATGAATACAATATGGGAACCAGTAATAAGGAGTGCCAGAGAAAAGTGATAACAAAAATTGCAATATGAGCACTGGTAAAAATGGTTGCTGAAGACATTAGGTTTATAATACCCAGTAATTCATATACAGATGTCCTCAAGGACACATGGCACAGTGGATAAAGGCTTTAGTTAGATCCAGTGACAGGACTCGTGTGAGTTCAATATAGGAGATAACTGATAACTAACATCCATTAGACATGGCACATGAAAGTAGAACAATTAAATAAAGGGTTCAGTTTGATATTCTAACCACCTAAAGAAGGCCAAAGTGTACAACGGCCGAAATGTTGTAGTAAATATGGCAACAGATTTGGACAGTAGTCTAATTAATGTAAATAGTATACTTATGTGGATAGTAAATCTAAATTACTAGTATTACTTAGCATTGTAGTACATATGTAAGACAATCCATGCTGATGTTTATTTAACCAAGTTTTAGTAGTAAATGTGCTTTAAAATGGTGATTACCTTTCCAACTTTCTTTTACTCAAGTCAGACATTGACTATTTCCTACTAATTTGTTTTTAATACAAATTTCTTCTTTGAGCCTAATATGAAGGTTGTTGCTAAAATGTTTGGAATAACTCTTTCCAAAATAAAAATATTTTTTGAATTTCTTATTGGTTGAGCCATTAACTTTTCAGCAGCCCTCATGTTTTCTTTTTTTTTTTTATATCTAATATGAGGAGGTACTGCAGACTTCTCTGCCTGACCAAGACTGGATTATTATTATTATTTGATATTCTAGAGTGTTCATCAGTCTTTCATTTGATTTTTCTACTGTCTGACTTGTAGCAGTTTTTATTGCTTCTCAGGGAGTGTCTTCTGAGTATTGCTTCACATTCTCATTAAGTCTCTTGTGATAATGAATTACTAGTTTTCTATTAGATTAATTTCTGAATAGGTACAGGGCCATTCCATTAATTTAGTCTTTTAAAACTTTTTTGGCAAGCTTTGCAGACTTTTACATGAATATATTCTTTAGCTTAAAGTTCCTTGGTTATGAGCTAAAAAAACATTTTGTCCAATTCTCTGCATTATTTGACTTGCCTCCAAATCATATTATTTGATTATTTCCAGGAAGGACATCTCTTAAGCTAGTAGTAGTCATATTCTGTATCATACTGATTAATTAAATTTTCTTTATTGCCCTTTAATTTTACTCCAATATTTTGTGACACATCTTTTGTTCTTGCTGATGTTTGAAATGTTTTATCTTTATTGTTCCATCATCTCTCTTTAACTTTTCTTCCCATCACTTGACTTTATTTTTCAGGTTTTATCTTTCTTACAACCAAAGCATTTTATATATATATATATATATATATATATATATATATATATATATATATATTTTATAGTTGTTAGTGGAAAAAAAATATTGTTCTCTCAAATCTGAAATGAGTTCTTTTCCATGTGGCTTCATTACTGAACTGTTTGTAGACTGAAAGTTATGAATTTTATAAGAATTATTTTTAACCTTGTATATTCTATATATAGTTGAATCCTCTATTAGAAAAAGATAAAGAATACAAAATATACTTACTATTGTAGGGGATTGAATGGCCTCACTTCAATCTCCTATTTTTGCTTTCAACAAATGTGTCAAGAAACAAACAAGAGAAATAACAAATCAATGCAACATCAAAAATAGATTTTTTTTTTTTTTTTTTTTTTATATCAGTGACAAGTGATACAAATTTTTGTATTGTTGCATTTAAGTTTGTGTAGTTGCTGAAAACTTAGTTTGGAGCCTATGTGTTTAGCTGTGCAAGATTTTAGAACTTTGTACGTGAAGATAGACAAAATACAATTTTTATATTTATTCTCCAATCGGGACATTGTTTAATGACAGCATTATGGAAACGGGTGTGATACACTGAAATGTAGAAGTTAGATTCTACACTATATTGAACATAATAAACATTTTTCTATCGGGTGAACTTCTTTGGATGGCAACATATTCATATTTTTATCAATAATTTCAGTGAAGTCAAGTTTGGCCATAAATAATACTTGATAATATTTGTTTAGATTATGTAATGTTCCACTATATTTGGTTTAGAACGGTGATTATCAACTGCTGTGCTGTGGTGCACTCATGCACTGCACGATATTGTCACAGCGTGTGTGTGTGAGAGTAGTAATGGTACAAAAGTTACAGATATTTGAAATAAAGTAAATTTTTTTTTTTTTTTTTTTTTTTCTATGGTTTTATTTCATAACATTTAAATGTATACCCTTTAAAAATTTTAAGTCTGCCATGATATTTTCATTTGCTCCTAGGTGTGCTGTTGCTTAAAAAGGTTGAGAAATATATTGTTTGTTTCAGAAGAATATTTCATTAAAAAAAATTTAGAGACAGTAGATTATGGTTGAGACTGATTCATAATATTTATGTATAGGAGGTTGTTTCCCTATTTATCTGCCTTAAACGCTTGTGACTTGACAATCCGCACACAGCACAGGCCATCATGATGGCTAACCTATATCAAAATGTTTTTGAATAAAAAAAATTTTAATAAATTGTCTTGAAACAATTATACTTATAGAATATTATGAAGATTAAATGTTGTGCATATATTGTGAAATAAATCATTTGATTAAAGATTTTGTTTTTAATTTTTTTTTTTTTTTATCACCAGATTTTATGCGAAGTACCATGTCAACTAGTCCTGTTGGTATTCATGGTTCTGCTCATTTGAAATGGAACCCAAAGAACTTGGAGATTCGCACAAAGTCTGTAGAGAAAACGTTAGAGCCTCTTGTCACACAGGTCTGTCATTTTTTCTTTTTTTTTTTTCTTACCAATATATCATCACTTTTGTATCCCTTTTCAATATTATGTAATTATCAAACTTTATTTTTGCAATATACATGAAATGTTTTTATGATACTTTTATTTTCATGTTAAAAAAAAAATATACAAAGAAAAACAATAAGGTATAATAAGGATTAATTTTTAGAGATTAACTGATGTAGTCTGATACATAGTGGACCAAACTAGAATGTCTTCTATTCTTACTAGATTAATCATAATTTCATCCAATCACCTGCTGATCTGTGCGAGACAGTAATTGATTGGGGAGTGTAGTTCTGTCCTTGTTAGGTTGTTGGTCCATCTAGTGTCATGCTCTGCAAGCACTTCCTACACCTATGCTATCAAGACTCGAAGAAACAGTTTGGTGTTAACACATGTTGTGGTCAAATGAAGGAATATATGTATTTGCAATATATTTGGTTGGTTTATTAAGTTCTGGCTGGAAGTTGGTAGGAAAATTTCTCTTATTACAGACACAGATCAGCTATTTCCTTCAGCCAACAAGGATTCTCTCCTACCATTCCTCTTTCAATATCTACATCGCGATTCCTGGCCGGTAATTAACCCATGGGTGGGATGAAACTATTCTTAACAGGCAACATTGGAGCTCTCCTTGATGGACAATCTGTGCCCTGCCAAAAGTTACTTTTGATTCTGTGACTGTATAAGCCTGCAAGCAGAAGTTTCTAACTTCTGGCCAAGTGGCAACTGAAAGTTTTCATTTATTTACTTATTCAGCCTATTTCCATTTTGTACAGAATCAAAGGCATCAAGAACCTACAAATCCATTTCTTTCCTGGCAAAAAAAAAATGGCTGATTTTCTGCCACTTGGGTGCTTTGAGTGAGTGACCCAAACTTATTCATCTTATTATAAGCTATTTTGGGGACCTTGGAGATATGGCAAACAAAGTTGTTTGAGAAAACTGATTCTCAAATTCAAAAGTATGGCAACTAGTCCACCCTTGCATGAGTGACTTGAAAAAGCAAAGTACAGTTACTGACAAAGCTACTCACATGTCATCTGACACATCAAGTCGATTTCTCCACTTTGATTTCAGATTTAATAATGCAAAGAATCCTGTTTCACAGAAATACGTAGTTGTGAAGGGAACCAAAACATGCATTGCCCTAATTACCAAACTTGGGTAAGCAGATTTGTTCACACCAAAACAGCTTGAAATCTATCTATCTTGGGTCCTCTTGGAATGCAATGAAATCATCCTTTGATAAATCATTCACTCATTCTCGATATATCAAATGAGAAAGTTTTGTATCCAAATCGAATCCATGCTAAGATCATCAATATCTGAAAAGTAACCCTCAAAATTTGTACTTAGAACTTCCAAATGAATCTTGACTTCTTGAATTATTTCTTCAGGTAGTGTTTTAACATCTCCAATAAGGATATTGTAAAGGATTGGAAAGTTTGCCAGGTTTCTGCTTTCAACACGGTGATTCCAGATAAGTAATTGTGAATGCAACAACTTTCCCCTGGCTTGAATGATGTTCACATCCCCTCCCTGCATTGCCATTCAGGTGCATTGAGAAGACTGAAAATATCAGCCAAATATCCCAATAAAATGCTCATCTTTAAAATGATTTGCAAGAGGGGATTGTTGATGCTTGAGAAATTTGAGAATTTCATCCCGGAGTTCCATTACACGTGTGAAAACACTGCCACGATTCGGATAACGTACCTCTGTGTGGTACAGGAACATGGAGTGTTGCTGTACCACACAGAGGTACAGCAACACTGTGTTCCACTCCAATCTCGTCACAGAATTTTTTAAACAGTTGCCAATTCAATGCACATCCATGACGGTTTGCACAACTATTCACATCGCCTCTTTAAGTTTCTTTGGCAATGTTTTGGATGCCAGAGCTTGGCGGTGTAGAACAGCGTGTGGTGAAGCTTTCTCCTTGACCATAGCAATGAATCCAGATTTTTTGCCAATCCTGGCAGGAGCGCCATCCGTACAAATAGACCCAATCAAATCCCATGCCAGCTCCTGGTGATCAAAGAAAGATTTAATCAGCTTGAATATGTCAACTGCTTTGGTGGTTGTTTCGAGTCGTTCACAGAATAAAAACTCTTCCTTGATATTCTTTTCATGTACATGTCGTACAAATACAGGCAATTGACTGTGGTTTGACATGTCAGTTGTTTCATCGATCTGCATGCTGATTTTTGCAGGACTTTGTTTAATCTCACTGACAGCTTGGGTTGTTATGTCCTGACTCATGTCTTTAATTCTCTGTGTACAGTGTCATTGAACAAGGACACCTGACTTAGTTGCTTCGTGGCCTCCTCTCCCAGTACAATTTTTGCCATCTCCAGTGCACAGGTTTTTATGAGGGTCTCCCCTATTATGTGGGGCCTCTTTTCTCTGGCAATCATGTACAAAACTTTGTAGGAGGCTTCCAGAAGTGGTTTTCCCGGAGCAGAAAACCCATATGATGAAAGAGTTGCTTTCTGATCATAACGAACTCTTCTCAACTTAAAAGCCTCAATAACATGACTACTGTATTTGCTTTTGAAACGTTCCCTCAGTCCTGATGGCTTCAAATTTTCATTGCTCATTACCAAATTGCATAGCATGCACTGGGGTCTTTCTGTTCCATCTTGTTCTGTCACACAGGTGAAGCCAAAACCTGTATATAAATCATTCCACATCCCCCCCTTTTTTTTTTGACAGACGACATTTTGCACTAAATCTGAGTCTGAGAAATTGAGTCCCATAGTCCCAGCATTTGGTTCCCATACCCCCAAGGGGTATGGATATCCCCGGTTAAGAACCCCCTCGTTTAAGCCAACAAACTGAATTCTGCCTAAGTGGCACTTGTTTCTGAAAGTTTTCATTATTTACATCACAATGATCAATCATGCAGCAAGTGGTTTGTAGACATGCACATTGTATGTGTGGGTTGATGTAAGCTTCCTTGCCACTCTAGGCTTCGTGGAACTCTGAGGAGTCATCATTGGAGACACATGTTGGATGCATCCGATGAAGAATGTGCAGCACATCAACTAAAAGGAGCACTACAGTCGGGCACAAGTAAAATGCATCTGCTTATGGATACTGTATGTCTCTATTGGTATGTATGTGACACATAAGAAAGGAAAAAGCCAAAGTACATGCAATAGCCACAAGTGAAGCCATCTCTGGAGGAGTATTTCACTTGCAGCTTTTGTGTGTATTTTAGCTTTTCTCTTTTATATGTGTCAGATACATGGTCACACCAGATTTGGGTGTACTGTCTGCCAAGCATTCTACAAAAATGGCTAGGCACAGTAAGAAAATACAAACCTGCTTGTGTTGCATCCATAGAACCACCTGACACTGATCTAATAAAGACTGCATGCTGTCTAAGTAGGAATCTTGTCATTGTATTTTACATATTGTAAAGCAAGTTCATTCTGTTGTTTTGAAGGCAGTTGTTAGTGTTAGGAATGCAAGGAGTAACAGTCCAATGACCTCAGCCCCAACATGTGGCCCACAAGACAAGCTGAATATGAGTGATGTATGGAATTGATTGTGAATGGGCAAAAACTTAAAATAAACATTGAGTAAATTTAATTTTCTTAAATCGGTAAAAACTAAATTTCACTTAAAATTTCTTATTTAAAAAAAAAAAAAAAAAAAAATGAGTTTCTGTAAAATATTTTTTATTTTCTAGTAGGTGATTTGTTTCCACAGATTGCTTTTAAATTTACTTATGATTACCTGAATTAATTTAAAATTGTTTTTATTCTATGGTGTGTATTCTTAAAATAAAAAAAAATATGCATTTATGAAAGCTAGATGAGTATGGCATGTAGCTCAATAGTGGTTGACTAATGAACATCAAACTAACTTTCTAATCATGGCTTTCAGGTAGGTATCTCAGTTTTTCTTACTTTTAAGAAAATTATTAGAAAGTAAAACTTATTCTAATTAAGCTTGAGAAGTGATAATTATAGAATTTTAATGAATTTTCCATTTTATAAATGAACTTCTCATGGTATGATTAGTAAAATTTAATAAAGATATGTTTGTTCATTTGTGATTTGTTACAGGTGACTACCCTGGTTAGTCAAAATGGTCCAGTCAAAAAGAAAAAAGGGAGATCTAAAAAGGCCCATGTCCTTAGTGCTGCTGTACAAAAAGCTACAGAGAACTTTATTGCACGTGGACAAGAAATAGCAGATGAGAACCCAGAGATCAGAGATGATATGCTAGTGGCTGTTGAAGAAGTTCGCAAGACTGGTTAGTTATTTTACAATTATGCATTATCTTTTCTGTTTATGTATTTTACTTAGAAAACATTTAATAATTTCATGTCATTTGAGCTGAATTGGATATACATAAGTTTTAAAATGAAATTTTTAAAAATGAAAAATTTTTCCTGAAGTTTTCAATTTAGCTTTAAATGAAAGCTAAAGGATTAAATTTACTATGCCTGGAGAGCAAAATACTTTGTATGTTGATTGGAATAGACTTGAATTTTTTTTCTTTCTCTCAGTTAAATTGATGTCAGCTAGTTTTTTTTTTTTTTTTTTTTTTTTTTTTTTGCTTTATAGACATTTGTAAACAAAACTTAATTTTCCATTTTAAAAATTTTGCAAAAATGAAATGTATATATTTCTGAAACTTTATTTGGGGAAAATTGACAAAGTTAAGTTAATCAGATATTTTGGGGGAAAAAAAAAACTTCCTCTTGTTTGACTTCAAATTTGTTTTTGTAGTTATTTCTTTATTAATGTTAAATAATAAATATTGCATTGTAGTTGGTTCACATTTTTACTGTAAATATTTAATTATTCTTTTAAATAAACAATCGAATAAAATACATACTTTAGTACTTTTTTGTTGTCAAAAAAGAGCATGTATAAACCTAGTTTCATATGTTTGGATTTTATAAAAATTCTAAAAATAGCTTTTAAATATTGCCAGGTGTGTATAGTAATAGCGTTGACAAGTGAAAAACTGTCCTTTCTAACATGCAGTATTTTTTCTTTCAATCAAAGAACAGTCAATTGATTTTTTTTTTCTTTGTTTTTCTTACCACTACTATCATTGTGACAGATCAGCTGCTATCAATATTTCTTGTAACAGTCAAGCATTGCATGTTGTTGCTCTCTGATTTTGTCAAGTTTGTAATCTATGCTCTCTTCTTTAGATGCTTTGAATTTTATTTCCAGGTGAAGACATGGGCCATGCTTCCCAAGAATTTGCTAATGATCCCTGCTCTTCAGTGAGACGTGGGGCCATGGTTCGTGCTGCTCGGGCCCTTTTGTCTGCTGTGACTCGCCTTTTAATTCTCGCAGATATGGTTGATGTACATCGCCTGCTGAAAAGTTTGCATCATGTATGTACAAGTTCAATCTTTTTTTTTTTCTATATATATATATATATATATATATATATAAATTTTGAAGTACCATATTTCCCAACATTGATAATGCTATGGCCTTGGTGATGTACTCAAATTTTCCCTTGCAAAAATAATCATGAAATTATAATCTTCAACTTGTAAATGTTTGTCTTATTTCACAGAGAAGAATATCATTGACACAAGGAAGTATAGCATATTCTGAGTTCATTGTATGCTGCAAATCCCAACTACAAAATGTGTTCTATAATGACACTGATTATAGAAGACTTAGCTTAGTTTGGCAAGTGTGTATAACAATGGAGAGCAGGGGTGGGGTCATTCAATGAGGATGTTATTTTTTACATAAACAAATGGTTTACAAGATAAGCTTGTTACCAATTGCTTTACATTGAGCAGCTATGATGATTAGCTTGCTAACCATTATTCCACAGTGAGGCATCCCATTAGATGTGATTTATAAATTTATGTGCTCAAGAACAAACAAGATTCATAATTTGTTTTAGATTGTAAATCTATATCATAATCTCAAAATTTTAGATGTATTATGTATTTTCTTGATTTTTACTCTTTGTAGTTATATTAGCAGTAAATGTTCTTTTGACTACTGTATGAATAAATGTATGCATGAAAAATGAAAAAAAATCTGGTTCAAATGTGATTGAAATTAATGGGCATTGTACTTTAATAGTTTGCTATCTGAATTCTGTATAAGGACATTTCAGTGTAACATCTTTCAGTTGAGTATTCTAATGACTGTTTTATTCAGTAATGGGTAATTCCAGCAAATTTCTATAGGAGTCAGGAATCAATGACTTCAAATTTTGACCATTTGTTTACTTCTATGAGAAAGGTATTTCCTGAAAATTTCAGCTTTAGAGCTCCATCCATTCTCATTTTATGACTGCTAAAACTTTATGGCTTTCTGCAAATTTCTATTTTTTGACTTTGTTCCATTTCTGGAAGCGCACCATTTCAGAAAACCTTTGTTGCTAGTCTTGGCAGAGTTGTTTCCCAATAGTAAACCGTGATTAGTTTAAAAAACAATGGGAATCGGTCATTTTATTACATCAGGCTAAAAATTATTACAAGCTGAAAATCTAAGAAAAAAAAAATTGAAAAGATTGGTCTCGGGGAGGAAATCAGAGGTTAATCCAATGTTTAGTCCCTACATCAATCGGTGCCAAAGCAAGCTAGGTGTCTCACCTTTTCCAAAATTGAAGTTAATGGATAGTTGTCACATTATTACAACTCAATTGTTTCAATGTTTTTTTCTGGTTTTCATGAGATCTAAAAATTGGAGAAATTAAAAATAAAATTGCAAAATTTTAAACCTAAATAGCTTGCTAGAACTAGCATGAAACCATTTGAAACTATATATTCTAAAAGTACAAAAAAGTAAAATTCAAATATTGGAATAAATTCTGGAAAAGTTCAGTCCTCTTGAAAAATCAGATAAATTTAAACATTTCTAAATTTTCCATTAATCAGGTTCCAGAAATCCATGTGTGACAATTAGAAAAGTTTCCAAACATAATGGCTCTTTAAGATTGATGCTTGATTTCCCCAAAAAGGCTGTTTGTCAAATGCATCTCTCCTTGATCATAATGGATTTACTAATTCAGGGTGATGTAATGAAGATGCATACACCTGGGTTCCCCCTCACAGTAATGATTGGCTGGTGTCGGCCATAAATACAGACTGATGTGGAGGTACATGCATGATGCCTATTGGCTACACCTATTGCCTACTATTATGACGAAGACCGGTTACCTGCCAGATTGTCCAGAAAACTCAGTTACAGTAGTCCAAAACTACTTTGCTATTTCGAACAAATATATCCCTTTCCAGGACATATCAGTTGGCAATGAGATTCAAAATGACCTTATAAGTTAAAACAAAAGGGGGGGGAAATACAGTTGACAACACTTGCTAATGAAGAACATTAGAAAGACTTGTTCGACGCTTTCAGAAAGTAATTTTTCCCTCATTTTTGTTTTAACACTTATTAATGATGAACGTTAGAAAAGGAAAATCTGGTGCAACGGTTACAGAAAGTAAGAAATTGCCCCCCCCCCTGTTTGGAAAATTTTATTGTCTACATAAATTGGAGCAAAATTTTTTCTTGTGGATACGTTGGCAGAATGGAACAAATTGCGGAATTAACTAAGGTGTTATAAGTCACTTTGCAGCAACAATTCCAACAACAATTTATTCAGCAACAAGAAAGGTTTGAAAAGTTATTCAAACAGGCAAAAGACAATCACTTTAGGACAACAAAAGAACTGGGTTTCTAGTTTTTTTTCTGTTGAAGGAATTTCAAATTCACTCTCTGAATTTAAATACGACTCTGATAGTAGTTCAACGTTTCTGGCTTATTTTCATAGGTTTGAAACAGTATTTACGAAAAGATGTGAATAATGGTCTGATGAAGAAAAAATCACTCTATTGTTGCAGAAGTTGGGAACAGAAGAAAACTAGGTTTGTGCACAAAAACAGAAGCCAACTTCGAATTGAAAGAAAATGTTAAACCAATCTTTAAATCTGGGGTGTAATTCTATTGAATCATAATTTCAAAATAGAATGTGTGCCTTCAAAGAAGCTAGGTCACGCTGATGGGTTATCAAGATTGATACCTAAATATACGACACCACTGGAAGAAACAATAATAGCAGTGCTAAGAGATGAAAGTGAATTGTTGGCTCTGTTATGCAACACTATTAGAAAACTACCGGTTATGCTAGAAGATGTGAAAAAAGCAGTGGTGAACGATGATTTCATTAAAAAAAAATGAAAAAGCAAGTCTGGTTGAACAAGACAACTAAAAAAGGAATTAGTGTGTCACCTTTTTCAATATGTGAACAGATATTACTATACGCAGATAGTTGTAATGCCAGTTACTCTGCAAAAGAAAATTCTGAAATTCTGGCCATCCAGGGATTTCGAGAATGAAATTGCTAATGAGAGGCTTTACTTATTGGCTGAGGATGGACCAAGACATAGAAAATTTGGTGGAACAGTGCAGAGGATGTCAACTGGCAGCAAGGGATCCACTGGTAAAGATTCAACTACGGCCAAAGACAGATGTCCCATGGACTTGATTGCTTATTGACTATGCAGAGCTGACTGCAACAAATACAATAAATGCACTTAATGAAATTTTTAGTCGCTTTGGACTCCCTAAAACTTTAGTCAGCGACAACGGAGCACAGTTTACGGGAAGAGAATTCAAGGAATTCTGTATATCATTGTCCATTGATCACGTGACAACGCCAGTATATCATCCAAGATTGAATGGAAAGGTGGAAAAATTCGTGGACACCTTTTAAACAAGCGTTGCAGAAAAACCAAGGCATGGACATGAATGAAAGAAGTATTCAGAAATTTTTGGCAGTATATAGAATCACGCCAAACCTGAATACAATGTCAGGGTTATCGCCAGCAGAGTTAACGTTTGCGAGAAAAATACACTGTGTTTGACAGGCTGTTGCCTAGTCCGGCGAAGAAAACTGCTAAAAAAGAAAACCAGATGACTAAAGCGTATAAGCCAGGTGACAGTTTTTTTTTCAAGAACTTTAGTGCTGGAAAAATGTATTGGGAAGAAGGAATGATAACCAAAAGAATTGCACAGGTCATATATGACATAAAAGTGGAAAAATTTTAGTGCAAAAGACATTGGAATCAATTGAGACCTAGACACATTACAGAGGTCGCAGAAAATACCGAAGAGATTCCAGTGAAAGTCCTGTATGACCCATTTGAAATCCCTGTTCCAGTAAGTCAACATTTGCCAATGGAGGTATCCCTGACCTCAAGGCCAGAGGTACCAGTGTGCCAAACACCACCACTGCAAGGAGGAATGAGGTGAAAAAGACTTAGGAAAAAAATCAATCGATTAAGTCCTGACTCTAAAAAGAGAAAAATATTGAAGCTAAATTTCACAGGAAAATTTAGCTCAGGGGGAGGTGATGTAATGAATATGCATACACCTGGGTTCCCCCCTCACAGTAATATGATTGGCTGGTGTCAGCCATAAATGCAGACTGATGTGGAGGGACATGGACGACGCCTATTGTCTTTGCCTATTGCCTACTACTATGACAAGGACAAATCCATTACAGTTACCTGCTAGATTGTCCTACTCGGTTACAGTAGTCCAAAACCACTTTGCTACTTCAAACAAATGTATCCCCTTTCCAGGACATATCACAGGGGGTAAAATGCACAAAAAAATTCTACATGTATAAAACTCGTCGTATAGGCTAAATCACATTTGAGAATTATTTAATGCTGATGTTTGTTTTGAATTTGCTTTTTCTTTTAACTAAATGAAGCAAAATAGGAACAAATGAATTAGAGAAAAAAAGAATGTGAGAATCCCCCATAAAATAAATCATATCAAGCTTTATTAGACACATTTCATTTCTTTGCAGCCAACAGATATCTAAAATGGCTCCCAGATGAATTAGAACCCTCTGTAATTAATGATCAAATGGTTAGAAGTCTTTTATTGATTCATGGTTTGAAAACCTAGTAAAAGCTTATTGACTTCTTATTACTATTGTGCAGCAACAAATATCTGATACTGAATCAATCTTCTGGTTTACTCAATAACAGCCAAATCATGAAGAGTGAGAAACAGTTATTCAAAGAAAAAATAAAGTGTGTGAAATATGAATATTCTTAGATGTCATAAATCTTGCACGTGTTATATCATCAGACTGCAAACAATAGAAATGACCAGTGGTGCCAGATGACACGGGATCAACTTTTGTAATGATGTTCTTTATTGGAATCCAGCCAATGTCATTAAAACTTGGTCAAAAACCAGGGCAGCAGGATTTTTGGATGAAGAAATTTCACATCCACAACACAATGCTTACTTAGTTGTAACATTATTAATCTTTCGCTTCCCAAGGCTTGTAAAATTATCAATTTTCCCTGTTTTCATTGGTGAACATTTGAATAACTGAAGA